TATTTACTTATTGTATGATTGTGCTGAGATATTTGCAACAAAGGAATTTGCAAAGTTAGACATAAAATAATCATTTTCTTAACAATTTCTTATAGTATAAATGACAATGAGTTTTTCTACAAAACGAGTTACTCAACAAATTATAAATAAGACTCGCGTCGCGAGATGAGTTTTATGACGACTTAAAAAGAGATAACAGAGTCATTTTTCTTTAAATAATTGATTGTAAAAAATTACTTTAAAATTGCATACAGGCATGGAAAATATTGGCAAGAGTTCTGCGACTATATTTTATTAGAAAAGCAAAATTTCCAAATCTGAAATGCATAATTAATAATGCTCCGAATATAAAAGAGAAATGAATTCTCTCTCTAATAATAAGAATGGCTGATCAGAGTTCTTCTAAATTTAGCGAGATAACTCATACGTAATTACTTTTTTATTATGAATAGCTGATTTCCCTTTAAAAGCCATTTTTCTTAACTTCAAAACAAATCGCCATCGAGTGTCATCGTTGCACGTAGTCCCACATGTATTATGTGTTACATCTCGCGGTAGTATTACGTTATTCATCAAGGTCGTGACTGCGGTTTTGTTGGAGGATGATTAGACACGACCGGTATACTACGCAATGAGCGTGTACGGTAATACGGAAATGACGTTCGCCGAGGAAGAAGAACGGGGCAAAAAAAACAGATCCGCAAGTAGCGTGTGACGTAAGCCTTCTCGACGAAGCAGCAAAAAAGTCGAAGAAGAAACGTGACCGCTTGTTACGGCGATCAATACTCAAGTGGTCGACTTCGCTTCCTCGTGATAATTTTTTTCTGCCTCCTACGACTTTCAGGCCTGTATAAATAGCGCGAGTCTCGAGAAGAGAACACGCGGAACTCGGAGGCCGGTGGTTCATTAATACGTCGCTCGAGAAACGGCCTGTACTACGTGTACATCTAATGAATGGGCATGAAGACATTGTACCTACCCAACGTTTCGTTAACAACCTGACGGCCGATTAATCCAATTACTAAGTAAATCGTGTGAAAAGCCTAAAGTCATTGAACCCACGTTGCACTCAATGCTGGGAATTGTGTTTTAGTCGGCGCAGATTGAAAAACCGGTGATTAAAACGCGATTATTAGGAAATACCTTGAAATTTTCTGGAGAGTCGCGATCATTAGTATGAGAGCATCTCATCACAATGATTTTTAATAAAAAGCTGCTTTGCATGCATACATACTTCATATTAATTATGTCACGTTTATTTAACGATTGTTATATATATATTTGAATATATACGCAAGAAGCTCTATTATATTTCATATAAGATATATTTCTTCTTCGAATAATATAATCGAAAAAATTACCCATAGAGGCCAAACGTAGATCGATTCATAAGTATTCGTCAGATAAATCTGGTTACTCGGCCGCACACCTTTTAAGTTCGTCACGCTCTCCCCCTTCGACAATTAAATCAGTTTTACCACCGTCCCGGATCTTGGGATATAGATATTCTCTGGACCTGTGTATGGGTGCGTATACGGGACGTTTATAAATTCCTCCCCGACCAGTCTGTGGAATGTGGATTTTTTTTAGCGGTGGCGAATGCACGCAAGGGCAAGGTTTTTTTTACGGTATTCGCGGATCTGCCCGCGGAACAAAAGGGGCGGGGAGCAACAAGCAGGTGGGTCGCAAAAACCCGCAGAAACTCGTCTTAAGACAAAGACAAGCGCTCTGCAGGTCCGCTTCGAAAATCGCTCTCTCGTTCAAAAGATTCGAGGACATAGGTAAATGCTCCTTCGTCACCGATTTAACGAGACTGCAGGTTTACTTGAAACCGCATCGGGAATACGTATAATAAGGGGGGGGGGACTCAGGAACTTTAGTATATCTTATTTAGTGTCTTCTTATTATGTCGGACTTTAAGTGTGGAAGAGGTTCTAGAATTACATCCCAGTCTGGAAGTTTAGCATCCCGAACCGACGTTCATCTTTATTATTACAGTGGTTAATTGAGGAAACACTTATGCATTTACTACGCTGTTAAATTCGTGTCAAATTATACTCAATTCAAGTCATTTTTAACCATTTCTATAGGTTGCCACTACTCCTACTTAATATGTTGTTAATTTAACTAAAACAATGTTGATTTAACTAAATTAGTGAAATTAAAATAATACGGTTTTGTGTAAAATTAATAAATTTCGACACACGTGGTAGTTAAAAATAATAAAAACTTAAGGTATTGGTTTAAATGTCATTCTTTAACATTTAACGGTGTAGAATTAATAATATTCTTTTTATTAACAGTTGTTTATATGCCGTTATTCGTTAAGAGAATAAATTCCCCGCAGAGAACAGTAGCAATTAAACTAAATAATCCAGTAATAACAGTGGACCTTGCATTAAGTACAAGGGGAAGCGTCTTATCCAGGATTTTTATCTCGCACGACGAGCTTCACGAGCAACTTTGATGAGAGAATCAAATGCGCAGGATGTCTCTCATAATAAGGACTCGCATTCGTGTAACGATAATGCCCGTCGCCGTTTTCTTCGAGGAAAAGATGCGAATCTCGAGAGAGATCCTCTCGATCCTGGCGGCCGACCTTCGGCGTCTCCTTTCGGAGCGCTACGTAACACGACACTGGGGCTATCCCGTTCTCGAGAGCGCTCAATGATACGGCAGTCATTCAAGTCGCGCTAATTAAGGCGATTCTATCATCTCGCGATACGCACGCGGGGGTGTTTCGAGTGTCGTTTCTGTATGTCATTTACGAGATTGCCGGTTCCTGGATACACGTGGGACTCGCGCGTGTATGCACCGACGAGCAAAAATTATAAATTTAAATGCGCCCGGGCAATCTTTTAACGAGATGCATGGAAGTCGTTCGAGTCGAGCGCGGCGCGCGGGAAATACTACTGGCAGAGCACGATCATACGGGCTCACCGCTAAAAATCGTTTCGTCTTGTTAATTGACTCGCGTCGGTTATTGCACGAGCCTCAATAATCGTAACACGAGACTCAACGAACGAGCTGAGCTGGGCTGAGCGAGGACGTCACCTCGAAACGAGGTTAATCGCCCGCGAGTGTCAGCAGGAGCCAGTGGCTCGTGCACCATTCGATATGTCACTTGGTGCACGACACCGCTCCAAGTGCGTCCCGTGGCACGCACAATAACGTCATTGTAATTAGCGATCGCCTCGTGAACGATCTTATACGGTTGACGTGGTGATATAATTAAAACGACAGACCGGCCGGCAGGCGAGACAAATTTCATATCTTTGTTACGTTGAAACACGGCAACAGGAATTTTAAAGGGATCTTTTGAATATAACATGATACACCTATTATATCACGTATAAATGTGCTACAGAAAAAAAAACTAATCGTATCCGGTATGCAAAATAAAATAGCAAACGATGAACTCGAATGTTAAATATCGTTAATAAATCAATTCTACTTGCTGTTATATTTTTGCTTGTTGTTTCACACGATTTAATGACGATTAATTATTTTTGATCGGTATTTTGAAATTTATTTAAACTTTTTTAAATTTATGAAATTTTTTTAACGTCGAGCGATGTCCGTTTTGCCGCGAATATATTTGGTTAAGCATTTCTTCATATATCTTATATTTCATGCAAAATCAAGTTCTTAGCGGTTTGCAAACATGTCAACGAGATTAGCTATCTGCTTGTCGGATTTACGTGTAATTTATTTCAGAAATACACCCTCGTCAGTGTCAGTCGATGGACTCGTTGCTCGACTCTCGCTACCTAATTTTATATATAAGTCTTCGTAAAATAGTCATATTATACGGATAGGGCCACTTATACCGTTCGTGTCGTACCGTTCGTGTGCGCGACTACAAAAACATGACGCGGAGCGAAAAGAGCATTGCGTATCTCAGTGAGCTGGCACGAGATTTACACGCGTGCAAAAGTAAATTTGTACCTTCGTCAACGCCAATCAATTCATTGTTCTGCTGTCTTGAACCCGCTACCTGTGATCGATGTCTTGAGATTGTACGCGCATTCACATGGCACGGCTTATATCAACGGAACAATGCACATGGAAGAGCCGTGACATCAGCCGTGCTTTTCTCGGCAATTTATTATCAGCAAGAAATATCAGGTGATGTACCTTAAGTGCTAATATTACACGAGCGATATAATAGGCTTATTTTTGTCATGCGAAAAAAAAGCGGTGAAGAAGTTATAGATCGGTGTTTTTATTTTTTGCTACAATAAATTTATCGAGCGTGAAATTCGGACAAAAAGTTGGCCGGTTTTTCGCTGTGTTACAAAAGATACACGAAAGGCTATCTTATTCGCAACGTCTAGTTCCAATACACAAGATCAATAATTGCACAACATGATACCGCGCAAAAAAAAAAACAATGTTTGTGCGTGATATTACATAATCTTTATACTTTGATACTTTTATGCATAATCGTTTGCGTCTACAGGGATTATATCAACATCTTTGAGATGTCTCATATTACTGCAAACCGCAACTAGAAGAGCGTAGCCATTTGCAGCAGGTGTTTCCCCAAATGCCAACACGAAATTCATTTTGCCGCGCCACGTAGTTTCTCACTCGAGTCATATTGATATACCACATAATACATCAAGTAACAGTACGAGGCAAACGCCGCCGGCCGCAGTGGTCGGGCCTCCCTCCTAGCCAAATGCAATTGGCGGGTCTGAATATTCCCACTGGATAAATCTACTCAGTGAATTCCAGTGTGGCAGAAACTCTGCGTTACCTGTCATCGTCCTCCCCTTGTACCATCCCACGTGAAAATCCGGCTTACAGCGACTGTAACAACGACTGTGTCGACGTCACGCGGTTTGACGTTCGCGGGACAATGAACAGACCGAGTGTTGAAGAGCGATCCTAGGACGCGGTGATTGCGTAGGGAATGCGCCGGTGAGAGCGGGGGAAATGCCGTTCGGAATACCGTCGAAGGTTTCGTCGTCGTTGCCCATCCCGGGATCACGTACCTTGGTCGTAGACCTTACTCGTGCCGCCGAGCTTCTCGCGTACTCGCACGCCTGATGATTGCATAACGTCTACGAGCGCTCGGTACGCGCGCGCGCGCGCTCGCTCGCTCATTGCCGCCGCGCCGCGCCGCGTCGATTCTCAATAATGCGCGTCGTCGGGTCTCCTTCGAGAGCTCATCCCACTTAATGCTCGCACGAAAGGTTACGCAGACTATACGTTTAGATTAGCAGTGACGATACGAGTGTCTGTGTATAGGTAAACGATTGGTCGCGATATTGTCGATTTATCTTCTTGCGGCAGAAGCTGCGAGTAATCTGTTCTAACAATAAGTGTGCATCTTTTGAAGACTGTCACGCCGTATATTGATGAATGAAAAATGTAGGTAAATATGATTTCCAACGTGTGTGCGGAATTTCAAGAGAATATCGGAACTTCTTTCCTCCACGAATATATTTTAAATTTTCGAGGGAATAACTAAAAATAATTGATTATGTTGAATTCTATATATTCTGATGGGGATTTTTATTTTCTTCTCGATTTACGATTCAACTGCATGGTGCTTGCCATAAAAATCTTAAAAATAATTAATAATTGTCAACCTTTTGAGGGTAATTACAATTCTATGTAACACACGGAAAATACGGTTAATCCACAATTGCGCGTTTAATTTGTGATAAGTGCAATAATAGTTTATGTATACGTTGTTTGTTCGATGATGATTTACCATCACATACGTAATACTTTCTTCGCAAGCCGCTTGACGTGCTAAATTGGCTCCAGTCTATGAAATATGATGTGTGGAATGATACGAGTATCTAATATCTCGAAGAATAATCCGTAAATTTTGCAGAATGTAATAAGATAGAAATTAATCCGTGTCTAGCAAAGTTAATCCTAAGAAGCGACGCTTTCTTTGTAAGATTCTTGAGTTTTTAAAGCGCGATCCTGTGCTGATGCACGCACGACGGAAAAATCTGAAACTAACACACGCCTCGATAATCTTTTGTACTTACGAAATGTTCAGTCGCCGCGTAGTCGTAACGCGAGAAGAAAGAGAAAGAGAACCGACAAGTTACCCGCTGCCATTAATTGCTGCTACTCGCGCACGCGTTACGCTTTATATATGTACGAATTACGCAAACCTCTTCGCGATTTGCATTCGATGCTTTATGCGTAATAACGGTTTAATCCGTGTTGCACGGTGCGTGGACAATTACCCGCATGATGCAACGTCAGTTTTTACGAAATCCCGATAAGGCAGACAATGTAAGAAGCTTGACACGTTCCGCAATGAACGGCGCGGGTAATGCATCAAATTTCAGTCGCGAAATTCTAAGGAGATGAAAAATATTCTAAGAAAACACATGCTATTTTGCATACTATAGGTATGCGCACAACGTGCAATTATTTCCAAAAGGTAGAAAGACACAGTGGATATGTCTATATCCCGACTTTCTTCTTCTGCCTCTTCCCTCGCGGTCTTGCGCAGTCTTATCCACCGTATGCAATTAAATTTGACATATCTGGGTAAGAAGCTTTTACCCATCGCTTACTCCGATGCTGATCGATCGCTATTGTCATTCCAACCGTTCAACTATCAACACACATCTCGCAAAAATCAGCATTCCTCCGATCGTTTTCCGCGACACTGCATTATTTAAAAAAAACAAGGCTCAAATGTCATGTTCTTTCTTCGACGTGCCATTGCGACGTCGCCGTTCATGTTCCGTCCGACTAAAGACTCCGTTTATCTCGGTCGTATTTTTAAATAACGGTTTGACAGTGGAATCGCGGAAGAGGACGAATCAAAGGGGAGAAACGCGTTAAACAGAGCATTGTATTCCTGACAAATGCATTCAATTGAAGGTACGTTTTATCTCCGAGAGCGCGGAGAGTTCGTAACGCTTCTAATCGATTTCAAGGTATCTTGGAATAACGAGTGAATGAAAGGAAGAGGGAGACAGCGACCGACATTAAAAGTCGCCGAGTACGACGTGACTGGATAATCTGGTCATGGCATCTTGCCAAATAAACGATTCTCAGCCGTGGTCGGCCAGTGGAATCGTGACTTTTTATTATGCCACGGATCTGTTCTGTATACGCGCCGACGACGAAAACTTCGAGGAGACAAAAGCGCGAGATTCATTTTCAATTATGCACAAAAATATATATACTGTGCAAATGTACATTTGTTTCTCTTGATTACCAAATTAATATGTGAGTTGTTCATCTGGTAGCATGATTTCACTACCTAATAAAGTATTTGTTATTCACTAATTAACAAGTATAGATTTCTAGGAACGTCTTTGAATATTTATAATGTGAAAGATGTTATTGCAATCTATATAGCGAAATATAACGAAATTTTTAATCGTAAGATTTTACTGCATTAAAACCGGGAGCCAAATAAAGATAATTGTGGACATAGAAGTGGCAATATATTAAAGTTATTAGTTAAACTTACTACTCTCGAAAGAAAATGTTTATATTATGTAATTCTGTTATTTATTAGCAATAAAATATATCGTAATAGTGCTTAATAGTAAACATATATTGCTTGAAAGACGGTCTGTGGTATAATTATATCTTATAATCCGTCTGAGAAATATGGCTAACATAAAAGAAGCTATTAACCTGTCTGTTGGGAATCGTCGAGGAATTAATACATATATATCAATATATATGAACATGTGTGTGTAAACATATATACATATACACGTACATTGCTGCCTGTTTATAAATGTCTTACGTTTTACGGTGTTATTGCGACACTATCGGATTTGGAAGTGGACCACCGTGCACATGAAAAGTCACCCGAATCGCGAAGACGTACTTGTATGATCACGGCTGGCCGTTGCGTATCGAGAAAACATCGAAGTCACATTAAGTCGCGTCCAGGACACGCCATTAGCTGAATCTCGAAAGCCTTGTGCGTACGTGGAAAGACTCGCGGGAACGGTGAAGGAGCGTGAGGTCCTTCACACCTACGCTTTATTCCATTGATTATCTATTGAGTATCCGGTGTGTATTGTGCTATTTCTTCCTCACGAGAGATACCGTAAATATTTTCTGTACGTGATTTGCCTCTCTTATGAAGTAACATTAATTCGAAGAGATTTTTCTTAGCGTGTTAAGTACACGGAATTACTTTATCCACATAAAGGGTCTTTATTTGAATATAGTATATCTAAGCGAATATGTATAAGATTAGAAATTCAATCAAGAATGTCAGTTATATTTTTTTCATCATCTAGCTTAAGACAGAGATATTTGGAATTATTGTTTGAATTATTCAACGACATTTTTATTCATGAAGATGTTATCCTTGGTCATTTTAGTATACCTTGTAACGAAATAAGTAAATAATAAGACGCGAGCATATTTTTAACTGTCTGACACATAAATATTTTGTACGACATAAAATAGAAAATAATGGTTTCTCGATTAGAAAGAGCTTCGATCATACTATATTCTACCCTTGTATTATTCATCATACGAGCATATGACTCAAGTTAGAGAATGAAGGATACAAAGTGACCAATATCAAAGGAAACAGCTTGGGAAAGTGCGTTGTGAGTGAGATGGAATCTGGGTCATTGCAGCAATCAAGAAACAAAGGAGGCTTTCCATTATTATAGTAGTATAATTAAATTAAAGAGCGTTTAAATTCTGCTCATACACATTGTAATCCTATCACAGTTTGCTCTTAATCCTATAACCAACCGATAATTCTATCTGAATATATTCGCGTAGATTATAATACGGTTTAGCTTTATGACGGAGAATTCTATTTGTCAAGTCGCTGAATAATTTAATGATTTTGTGCTAATTGCGGGATTTATATAAATAGATCAAACAGGTAGTCACATCCCAAGGACTTGTTGTAGTACGATAATTGTTTATTTTACTTCGCTATTGGATAGTAACTTGCTCTTTTTTGCAACAATAAGTTGAGACAGTAGCGAATAAATCGATCTAACGAACCGTAAAAGCACCACACTATAATCTTTTCATTCGTAGGAGATTATTAGAATACAGGTAATAGACAATGCTGTAGTTTTCAGAATCTTGTACTCTGAGTTGTCCAATGAGTCTGAAAAGGGGAACGATACTATTTATAGATAATTTCCACCACAATTTTTAATAGAATTTTTTATTTTGTTATTTATTTTCATTTCATCGTAATTCTATCTCGTGAAAAATAGATACATATGTAAAATATATATTTAAAAATTTTTTCGTACATATTTTGAAATGTTGTCAATAATGCCAAACGCCGAAAGAGAATTTACGAACTTTACTCATTGTAATACTTATATATTCGTATTATTTTTTTTATAAGTATCTTTTTTCTAGTCTTCTATTATTCTTTATCCACCTGTTGTAAAGAGTTTAGTTATTACAAAATATATAGTTGAGATCTGGCGTTACTGACAAAGGAAATTCCACATTTCGATTTGATTTTGAGAAAATAAAAATTAATGTCCAGTTCTTCTCGACCGATATCCCGCGGCGAATTGAAATGGTCGAGCGGAGTCGTGGCAGTTACTTACCGGAGCCAGCGGAGCGTGCATGCGACTTTTCCACAGTCACTTTCATAATACAAGCCACTTCCGAAAGTGAATCAACGTATCCGACGTTAGGAGAAGGTTACGCATAAGCTAATGCAAACTTATTTATAAGGCGAGCAGCACGCTGGAGGAATTTCTTTGTGCACGATTTTTGATATGCGGTTATACAATGGAATTTTTAGAGTCAGTTCGTTGGTACATTGCCACTGGATATTATGCCAGTGAAGGTAATAAAGTCACACGTGCGAAACAACAATGCTAATATTGAGGTTTTATACTGACATAAGTGTCTTTATCGCTATAATTCAACGACGCAGTCAGCCGTAACCAATTTAATTGCAACATTTATTATAGCTTTGATTTATTATTAATAATTGCATTAAATTTTATATAAATTCAAAGATTATAAAGAATTACAAACAATTTTACATATTGAATGAAAATCGATATTAATTGGTCAATAAAAATTCCTTATTGAGACACAACTTATTCGATAAAGAGAATATATCGCTCATTTGCTACAACGACATAACTCAGGAAACAAAATTTTCAAAAAAATAAGTTTGAATGTTTTGAATCATTAAAATTTTTAATATTATATTTTTAAATGCAATTTTGGTGCAATAACTGATTATAGAAGAACAAAAATATCTATATATATATAAATAGATATATATTAGCTCTTCATTTAGTGTATTGAATTTTCACCTTTCTTTTACAAACAGTTCAAAGATGAAAATTTTTGAGTTATGTCATTGTTGTAGCAAATGAGCGAATTATATGTATGTGAAGCAAACATATATATTA